TGGACGGGTCGCAAGTCCATCACAGGGCCACATAGAGACAAACAAGACAAACAACCATTCACTCTCTCACTCACACCTAGAGACAATTTAGAGTTACCAATCAGCCTAACATGCATGTTTTTGGTCTGTGGGAGGAAACCGGAGTACCCGGAGAAAACCCACGCATGCACGGAGAGAACATGCAAACTCCACCCAGAAAGGCCCCCGGACCGGGATTTGAACCAGGGACCAGCTCGCTGAGAGGCAGCAGCTCTACCAGTTGCGCCACCGTGCTGCCCAATTTCTATCTTTGTATTTTTAATTTATTGTTTACAGTAAGTTTTTTTAAAATGTATTATGTCTGAAATGTAGCAGGAATTCAGACACCTGCTGATGTTGTGTGCGCTAGAGCTGTCTGGAGACGCTGTGCGTAACGTGCACTGTCCACAGGGCATTTATTTATTCTGTTGAATAAATTATCATTTCTGTTTCAGGGTCCGAGAGGAGGGGAGAAGGGGTGTTTTTCAGTGCACAGCCCTGATGAGTAGGGACAATTTGGAGAAGAGGAGGAGAAAAGGACTCTGCACAGAACCTCTGTGCGTAAATGTGACCGTCTGTCCCTCCATCCTCACAGAGTTTTCATGCTGATGAGCTCCAAAGCCGCAGGTGGCCTGCGATTCAAATCACTTCCATCTTACGGTTTAGCTCATAAATCAGCTGATTTTGAGTCCTCAAAGCACAAACCAAACCTTCACATAGGCAGCAGCCTGAAGATGGCCAGATTAGCTGCGGCTGTCTTCTTTATACGTTGATTAACCAGGAACTAGACAATTCCTAAAACAGTAAACCTGTTATCATAAATCCAATTATATGCAATTTCTGCGTCTTCGATCGACAGCAGAGGTAGACACATCACATTCCTCTTCCCCAGAGATATATCCAGCTGCATGTGTCGTCTGAGCTGACACAAGGGTTCTCCAGGACCCTGTCACTTTGTTGAAAAGATTTTGTCATTTGCGTCGAAAGTCCAGTTGGTCAGATCCATAACAATCGTTCTCATTTTGGAAAATGTGTAGAAACAGGACCTCAGATGCACAGACAGAGAGCAAAAGAGCAGGAGGAGAACAGGGAGAGGGAAGAGGATGAGTGAGCCTCATTCCAGAGCGAGTGAGAGAAAAAAAAAAGATCTTGAACATTTTAGTTCTGCACATCTAGTAAGTCATTGTATTTTCTGTGTTTTATCATATGTAAAAAAAAAAAAAGTTTGATGATAATAAATGCCAGCAGTTGATTTGTATAACTATCAGTTTCAGTTTTCTCCAACAACCTCATGGAAACATATCAACATGCAGCAAGTAAAACTTGTTTTAAGAGCCTATAGTGAACGGTGCAGTTTGTGGGGGAAACGATCATGCTCAGATGTCAGAGTGAATACCTCTGGTCCACGATGATGGTGGGCATACAATGAACACTCTGTGATACAAGGTAAAACGAAGGAGAGGGACCGGTTGGAGAGCTTAAAAGTTAACACCAGTAGTCCCGTATTTCAAACTTTTTCCTGCTGCCAGTCTTAATATAATCTCTGCAATCTGGGCCTCCCATTTGTTGTATGAGCACAAATGCATTCACTCTTTCACGCACATTGGCAAAGTTTGACAAGTTGTATTTTTGTGAACTGATTGAGTTTTAATGTAACTCTTGAAAGCGCAAGAGATGGATGGTATAAATAGTCTGACTCATTTCTCACGTGACCTCTTTCCCTTTGCCTGTTGGGGGCCACAGTGTTTAATAGCTGGCCTGTTATTAACCCTGTGACTTCTGAAACAAACATGTGGACTGATTTATGAGCTAATAAACACCCACAGAAGTCAAGAAGAAAAAATCAATGACACCTGTCTCACAGTGTAAATTTGAAAAAGGTTATATTCTTCAGTATTTACAGTTTAAGAACGTTGTTTAGGATGTTACTCACAGCCTTGTGCAAGTCAACATTTATTGGTTTTGCTATGAGCTGGAGCTCCTTCTGTTTAAGCAAAATGTCAGAAGTGGGATCTGTATTGGTAATAATAAAAAGTTTTGTCATTATTATGAAAGAAAGGTTTTAAAATACAGTCACCTGTAGTCTTCAAGTGTCAAGGCATTTTTCATTTGAATAAATGTGTGTGTGTGTGTGTGTGTGTTTGAGACTTTAGAGAGACAAAGCTGTTTTCCCAGAGACTATTTCATTCATAGTGTAAGACGGTACCCACTTCCTTCCATTGAGCCAGCCAAAAATGGCCTTCCACGCAAAGAGGGTGGGAAAATTTAGAAGCACAATGGGAGGACAGGATAGACACCACATCAGACTGCATGGCATACACTTTGCACACAAACTGTGAACACCCATAAAAGTAGCAATTAGTAGCTTCTAACACCATAGTTTACCATCTGGGACAATTTCTGCAAGAAAAGGCACCTCTATGCCTATTGCAGAGTTTGTGCGATTTCAGAAAAACATAGTTGAAACTCATTTACAAAACATTTCAACAAAGAGCAGATTGAACCACTAAATGTCACCTGCAGGTATGTGGTTACCTCAAGCAAATGTTTCAACCACAAAGACAGGTGATTATCTTGCCTGGACCTGATTTAAAACAAGCAAACACATGGTGACCTTGTGAAACCTTAAGAGAGGCATGCATAACATCGAGTTCCTACATGTCACAGGCTGGGGTCTGGACATCAGAGTGCAAGGCCATTTCCTTAAGTGTGCCTCACCCCCTCCCCTGTCTCATTTCCTTCTTACCCAAACAAAAGCTGCTTCTCTGGGAAAAGCGCTCAGCCACTTGTTTCTTTTTTGCAGAGCCAAGTCCTGCTAGCAAGCAAATACTTATCTGGCCAGCAATGTGTACTTCACAAGGTACAGAGCAGAAAATGTGAGCTTCAAGCTGCCCATACTAAAGCAGATTGTGCAAGCTTTCAATAAGGCAGAGTTAATTACCTTCCATTCATCTGGGATAGGAGGCATTTCACCAGGTGGGTTCTCTCTCAAGCTGTGCTTTCCATTAATGAACTTGAAAACCTTTTGCTCTTGAAGTGCACTGACAAGCCTCCCAAGAGCACTCTGCATTTGTTGCAGGACGTCAGTATGGAGAGGACCGTTCCACTCACCAATGAGGAATTGTGTTTCCAGGGCCACAAGAGTACAAAAGTTCACATTAATAACCCTCAAGGATATGCCATCAAGTTTAATTTTTGTTTTAGTCATGGGATACCAAAAGCTTCAAGTCTAGTGCCAAAACTATTGGCGTAATGGTTCATGTGGGTGTATTGAACAGTTTTGGTATGTCATGTTCGGTTCGGCCCACATGCGTACCGTTTCGGTTATTTTTTCACTCATTAAATTTTATTAACGAGAGATTATGCGTCGTGGAACAAAAGTTCCTAAGCGTGTTTCAGCACAGCGCTGTTAATTGTTGCGTAGTCTTGCAGCCCTTGTAGCATTAGCAGCCTAGCAGGCAACAAAACTGCCAGAGCTTGAAGACCCTTTCATCTCGTTGCAGTCTCCTGTTTGGAAACATTATGGCTTTCTTGTTAAAACTCAATGGGGAAAGACAAGTGCAAATTCAAAGCAATGTGTTGTTTCACGGAGATTGGATCTGCAGTAGGCAACATGTCTAATTTGTTAACGCACTCGAATCATCCAAATGTGAACATCTCTTCTAGCAGCTTGGTGCAAAGACCTATAACAGTAGCATTTGAACCTTTATCAGGTAATTCAGATTGATCCAAAGCAACAACACAAGCCGTAGGAGTTTTTAAAGCTATGTCTGAATTTTGTTGATGCACGGGCTTTAAGCATATGATTAAAGTTCTTGACCCCTGCTGCTACAACATCCCATCACGTCAACACTTCAGCCAAAAAGTTGTACCAGCACATTATGAAAAAGATAACTGATAACAAGCCCTGGAGCCCAGATATAAAACTGCTACATAAATGAGCGAGAGAATATTTAACCACCTCATAACAAATGACCGCACAAGAAGAGGTATTGTTATTGTAGTGATCAAATTAACTTTAATTTAAAATCATATTAACTCAATTTTTTCCTTTACCTCCGTTTTTTGCAGTCTGAGGATGTCACCAATATACCAGCCGAGTTCTTCCTCTTCAGAGAAATCTCCACCTCCAGCTAAGTCTAAAGACTGAACTCTTTCAATTTTTCCAGGGACAGGTGGGAAGTAGCAAGTCCCTTTTGGAGCAGGTCCAAGAAGAGGTTTGTGAGTACATAGCTTCAGGGTGCCCTTCCCTTGAAGCTGACCCTCTTTTGGTTGAAAGGCAATGAAGTCAAATACAGCCACACTCACTATTCTTGCTAATCTAAAAAAAGTTAAATCTGGTCCTCTGGACATTCAAAAAAAAAAATAAATGTAGAAACCTTTCGTCTTTCATCCGAAAGACTTCCTCACTCTGACTGAGGAAGTCTTTCATATGAAAGATGAAACGTTTCTACTTTTTTTTTTTGTTGTTTTGCTTTTTGAATGTCCAGAGGACCAGATTTAACTTTTTTAAGATTTTCTACCTGGATTATTGAGCATGCATCAGGATATTCTTGCTAATGTATCATTTACATGGCATATTTTCAAAATAAATGTTTTGTAACCATTTTGGCCCTTTTTGTACAGAAAATTAACAGAGTCCTCCTTGAAAATGAACTGAAATGTGATTTAACATACTGTTACACCCCTGGCCAAAACTGGGTTCATAAGGCACCTTTCAAATACATTTTCACAATAAACGTTGTAAAACCCAACTAGTAGGGTTGGCTGTACTTTTTTTTTTTTGCCTAACTTACGTCAGAATATTGACAATGGTAAAAAGGTAATTAACACAATTACTCGACAAGTGAAACCAGATGGAAAGTGCGAGTTAAATCTTCTCAGTCCGTTTTTGGTTTTCCTTTACAGAAACAGTTGCCTTGTTAGTCAGAACAAACAAGTCTTTATTAATCGTACAAAAACAATTACGCACAAGTAGTACATCAGCATCCAGCCTTCATCTGGCTGTGGTGGGGCAGAGGCTTGTTCAGGTGGATGCCCGCCGTCAGACCAAACTCTTCGCTGGCATGTTTTTCCTGAACATCAGACTTCAGATGGAAAGTCTTCTCATCAAAGCAGTCCAGAGAGAAGAAGGACAGGGGCTTCTCTTCCAGGAGCCCCTGCAGTCGTGCACGCCAGGCCTCCAGCATGGCTTTACGATCCTCCTCAGCTGCAGAGGATGGAGCCCAGAAGATCTGAGGGGCCAGAACCTGGAAGCCACAGTAGTTCAGGATGCCATTCTGTGGAGAACGGAACTTTGGATCAAGTCACTTAGCACCAGTTTAAATGAAGGTCCATTTAAAGTCAGACAGTATCTGCAGAGGCCACAGAGTGACGTTCATGTCTCCATTAATGCCAGATGGACTGAACATGGATTCAAGGGACATAGTGGTGAAGGACAACATGGCCTTCTTGTCCTGAAATGGACAGACAGGTTAAGACAAGTTCCTTTGATGCCTGTCCAAGTCTTGTGATCCAAGTCTCACCTTGAAGACTCCCTGGCTGTAGCGCTTCTCCTGGGAAAAGGCAAATCCATGAGTGAGCACCCGGTCAATCCAACCCTTCATGACTGCAGGAAGTCCAAACCAGTACATGGGGAACTGAAAAGGCAGATGTTAGTTTAAAAAGAGGAGCCAGAAGTTTTGCTTCAACTTTTACTGACGGCTAAACAGTACCTGAAAAATTAACAGATCTGCTTCAGGTTTTTTTTTTTGTGGCCGTTTACACGGTGCACATTTTGAGTGCATCCACAGCTTTCTCTCTGCAGTTCTGATCATTTACACGACACCAGTGCCCCCCCCCCCCCCCCCTTTGAATCTGGCGGTTTCTGAATCCACCTTCCAGAGTGGAGGTTTTTCGCTGACCCCCCCCTGAGGCTTTGTTACACCACATGCGGACAGACCCTATATTTCTATCAACATGGCGGCGGACACAGTGCTTTCTGAACTACGACTGATGGAATACATTTTTAATCTCGTAGTTAATCTTCGTCAGATTCCAGGTGCTGTGATCAACATCTGTGTTGGAAGAGACAGTCTGATCCAGTTCTAATATCACTGTTTATAGAATGAGGCACGCGTACACGTCGCGCTGCACTAAAGCATACTATGTGCTAAATAACATGTTTAATAATAAACAGTATTTATCTTAAGTTTGTGATATATAATGAAGCTATCTGGACATTATGTAATTCAAATTATGTGATTAAAATGATGCTAAACATATTGCATGTTATTAAAGTTGAAAATGAAGACATCAGGTTTAATTTTATTTATTCAACACCACAAACTGATAATTTAACTGAACACACTATTAAAAACAAGTTAACTGTAAACTGCATTAATGAACTGGACTCTTCCTCTGTTTTCATCCTGGAAGTCCCACGTTGTTCATCTGACTCGTTCAGGAAGTCACTCTTTTGATTAATGCAACTTAAAACATTCAATGGATTGAAGAAAAGAACTGAGGGGAAGTTTAAATAAATAGTTCATCCAACATATGTCTTCGACGTCCTCCTGCAGTTCATCTGGGCCGAGCCTTGTTCAGAACCAGTCCGCCTGGTGGAAGGACAGTTCCTTCTTTCAGGAAAAACGTTGTTGTTAGCTGAGCTTTTAGTCCAGAGGAAAACAGCATGCCGAGGCAGCACGCATGCGCATTAGGTGAAGGTACAAAATTCACAGCGCCATCCAATGACCCAGCATGGCAACTACAGCGGATTCGGGAGGGATTCCTCCGGATGCATGTAAACCCAAAATCCAACCGTGTCAACACAAATCTTTTCCTCTGTGTAAATAGGGCCAGTGATGTCATCTGACAGTCTTCCTTCCTCCCAGGCAATCCTGCTCTCCTTCAGATAACAGAAGTTCTCAACATCCTTCACTTCTCCTGAATAAAAGCAAGATGAATCCACAAGAAGGATAACCACTAAAAAAAAAAAAAAAAAAAAAAAAAAAAAAAAAAAAAAAAAAAAAAAGTCAACATTGATTTTTAATACCTTTGATATCCTCATCAGTGGCTGTGGCTTTAAAATTCATGGCATACAGGTCAGACACTTCTACTGTACAGCCCTGAGCAGTCAGAACCTCCACAGCAGCATTTTTAGCTGCAGCGTTGAATGAACCAGAGCTCTGGTGGGCATAAATGATCAGTACTTTCTTTGCTGCAGGACCAAAAATGATAGACATGAGATTCAAGCTCCCAAAATAATAAATAAAACCAGGAAAAGAAGAAGAAGAAGAACAACAAAATACAACATTACCCATTCTGAAGCAGATGACACAATAATAAGGAAACCTTGTTTGTGGAGGGGAAAAACTAAAAGAAATGCTGATGCAGTCAAACAAACACATGGTGTTTTTATACATCTTTCTCACCCTGTTCTCTCAGGTGAGGCCAATCATCAATCAAAGTCACCAATCAATCAGCTGGCAACATCTTCAGTATTTTTAGCGAGTTTAACTTGGGTCATCTGGACAGATTCTTCTTTCTAGATGTTACCAGGTTAAAGGTTAAAAGGTGATTATTGAGCATGCATCAGGACATCTTCAGTCTTTATCTGACCTTTCACTGAAACTAAAAAGATATTTCCATTGATTACATCACTGAAAATAAGACGCTACTTTCAAACACTGTACAATGTTTAAACCTTACTCATCCAGGATTGTTACTTTACAGTGTTTTATTCCTTTCCCTGCCCACAAAAGTCAGAGCCCATATGTGTCCGTTTATGTGGATACAGGACATTTGATAGCGTGATATGGTTGATACGCAAGTCTGTGTTTGTCTGTGTCTAAAAGATGTTTAAAATCTGTCTGCCACTCCCCCGTGTCTTGAACCCACATGAAGCGACCGTGTCTGAGTTAATCTTCTCGGTCTACTGTTTTTGGTTTTCCTTTACATTATTTTCCTCTACAGAAACAGTTGCCTGTGGTCGAGCCCACTCACGAATGTTGCCTCGTAAAAAATTTTAAAAAAGACTCAATGATGGGTTTCAAAGGCAGGCAAGAGCTGGTTCACATCTGCCTCCAAATACAGTTGTCAAAGCTACCCATCTGAGAGCGGGGGGGACATTTGAGCACATGCAGGGAAGCAACTGTTTTGGTCTGTTTCACGATTATACAAATTGATTTGAGTTTCAACCTTTATTTATACAGGTTAATCCCAATGAGCCTCAGGGACTCATTTACAAGAGATACCTGCTTTCTTAAGAAAGAATGATGACAACAATGAATAACAACGAAAACAATAGACAGTCATAAAATAGGCATACAAATTTAAGTTTCGCTCTTTATTTTTTTTTACCAAAAAAAAAGAAGCAACCAACAGGACAATCAAGAGGAATAGTAAAAAAAACAGCTAGATTATAAAGCGATTTAGAAAACTTTAGAAAGTTTAACTTCGATAGAAACTTATCAAAACAACTATTGAGTACAAATTCTGGTATTTATAAGAATGTATTGTTTTAATTTACCAGTGCAGTATCTACAGTATCAGTATACTCATTCACCCAGCATACGCTTTTTGCCCCGTTCCCCGCGGGCAGAAGGTTGAGGAGCATTAAGTGTAGAACCACTAGAATAAGGAATAGCTTCTACACTGAAGCTGTTCAATCCCTAATCAGGATTATCATTGTGAGAGAAACAAATCACTGTAGTGCCACTTGATTGTTGATACGTGCTGCTGACTATCCATGCTGCTGATCTCATGCTGCTGATTTATTTCATGCTGCTGTATTCATTCATACTCATCTACTCACACAGACTCATGTTCGTGCTGCTGTTGTTTGGCGTATTGTTTTGCGCTATTAGTGTTTAGCGTATTCTTAGTTTAGCGTATTTCTTAGTTCATACCATAGATCTTATTACTGCTTTTCTTTTACATTTATACTTTTGTTGGATGTAACTGGGACACTGTGTACACAATTTTGTTCCACTACGTGTACCACATGCGACAATAAAGAACCTTGACCATGACCTTGCTTATTTTATTTGCATAGCGCATTTAAATGGGCAATGTGCTGCACACAAAACAATAAATAGCAAAAAGACTATTATTATTATTATTATTAAGATGTAAAAGAAACAAATTTAGTCATAAATGTCAACTTTCATGCTGTATTAAAAGCCAATGAGGACAAATGTGTTTTAAGATGAGACATAAAAACATTGAGAGTTGAAGCATGTTTGATATTAAGAGGCAGCTGGTTCTACATGTTTAGGAGTAGAGTAAGCCTGATCTCCTCTGTGTACCAGCCTGGACCTCACAGCACTAAAAGCAAATGATCCTTAAGAGATCTGGAGGACGTAAGGTTGGAGGAGGTCAGACAGATATCTAGGAGCCTTCCTGTTTAAGGCCTCATAGGTCATTGAAAAAACTTTAAAATCTTTTTTAAAATGACCAGGGAGCCAATAACCAGCAAATATGTTCACACATGTTTTTAATCAACTCATTATGTTTATTGTCACCTGCCACCATGAAAAGCTGGTGAAGTCCGTGTGTGTGTGTGTGTGTGTGTGTGTGTGTGCGTGCATGCGTGCGTGCGTGCGTGCGTGCGTGCGTGCGTGCGTGCGTGCGTGTGTGTGTGTGTGTGTGTGTCTGTATGTTGACAAAATATCCGCTGATCCACTGGAAAGATTTTAATGAAATGCTCAAATAGTAATAGCTGAATCTACATCTATACCCTAATAACATTAGAAATTAACCTAATTAAAAATGGCTGTCACATCTAATCAACATTAGCAAACGCATAACTGGCTATAACTCTGTGAGTTTTGTAGATATATTGTAGGGCTAAAATTTTGTGTGGTTGTAACCAGTGACGTGCAATCAGGAGAGGCAGGTGAGACGGTGCTGCACCTGTCATCATAATGAGTAAAATACTGACAATAATAAGAGAAAATATATATTTGACCAAGTCCAAGCGACATGCGACTCGGGTGGTCACTGAGGCAAAAACTCTGGCATGGGAGGAGTTTGGAGAGGCCATGGAGAAAGACTTCCGCACGGCTTCGAGGCGATTCTGGTCCACCATCCAGCGTCTCGGGGGGGAAAGCGGTACACCACCAACACTGTTTATAGTGGGGGTGGTGTCCTGCTGACCTCAACTCGGGATGTCGTGGGTCGGTGGGCGGAATACTTTGAAGACCTCCTCAATCCCACCGGCACGTCTTTCACTGAGGAAGCGGAGCCTGGGAACTCTGGGTCGGGCCCTCCAATCTTGGTGCTGAGTCACTGAGGTGGTTAAAAAGCTCCTCGGTGGCAGGGCCCCAGGGGTGGATGAGATTTGCCCTAAGTTCCTTAAGGCTCTGGATGTTGTAGGGTTGTGTTGGCTTACGTGACTCTGCAATATTGCATGGATATCGGGGGAAGTTCCCCTGGATTGGCAGACCGGGGTGGTGGTCCCCCTATTCATAAAGGGGGACCGTAGAGTGTGTTCCAACTACATTGGGATCACGCTCTTAAGCCTCCCTGGTAAGGTCTATTCGGGGGTTCTGGAGAGGAGGGGCCTTCGGATAGTTGAACCTCGGATTCAGGAGGAGCAGTGAGGTTTTCGTCCTGTTGTGGAACACTGGACCAGCTCTACACTCTCAGCAGGGTCCTGTGGGGTGCGTGGGATCTTGCCCAACCGATCTGCATGTGCTTTGTGGACTTGGAGAAGGCGTTCGACCGCATCCTTCAGGGAACCCTGTGGGGGATACGCTGGGAGTATGGGGTGCCAGGCCCTTTGATATGGGCTGTTAGGTCCCTGTATGACCGATGTCAGAGCCTGGTCCGCATTGCCGGCAGTAAGTCGGGCTCGTTCCCGTTGAGAGTTGGACTCCGCCAAGGTTGCCCTTTGTCAATGATTCAATGACAGTTTCTGTCCAGATGACCTGACTGAAAATTGTTGGATTGTATACCTGGATTATTGAGCATGGACTTTTTTGGTCTTACATTAAATATTTTTGTTTTTCTTGCCATCATTGTTGGAAAGTATTGAGTTGATTAAAGCATAAATAGATGCCTTTTTTTTATATATAAAAAAGGCAAACTTGAAATATAAGCTTCTATTTTGGGTTCATATATGTGAGCATACAATTCCATACGAGTCAGTGCCTCACCTGTCACAAACCTCACCGCACGTCACTGGATGAATCTGAGAGTCATCAACTATACTCTGAGCACAAACAGATCACATGATGTGTTTTTGGCATTCAACACATTTGGTGACATGCATTCCTTCAAGAAATGCTACTTGTCTTTTTTATGCCTTCAAATCAGTTCTCCTGCTTCTCTGTGTTGTGACAGGAAGGGATCATGTGTTCTGCTTTGGAGAGATTTCAAATATTGTCATATATACCAAGGTGCACAGTCTCAGCTAATATGTTCCAACATTGTGCTTTGTGCTCAAGGTTGTGTTTCACGTTTTTGAACACATGAGGTATTTTGCATATAAAATCCAAGTTAACAAAGTCAACATATTTCATTTGTTAGGCATAAAAGTAATTTGTAGCTCATCTGTTTTTATGTATACAGAAACCCAATGTATGTGCATCATTGTGTACAAGAGCATAGGCATGGCATGTAAGCAGACACTGTTACTCTTTTCAGGGGATGCAGGGTGAAAATGCACTCAAAGGTGGTTTACAGTGCCATCGTGTGGCCAAAATGAGACTGCAGCTGTAAATCGGATGAAACACCTTTTCACAAACTTCGTGATTTATTTACCTGGATTGAGCATATATTAAAATTTTAGATTCCTAAGTACAATAAAAGGTCCCCCCCAAAAAATGTTTTGAGTAAGCAAATAAAGGGGAAAGATAAAAATAATAATAATAAAATTGTCATCAGGCTGTTTTTATACACTCTTTTAGTTCAGACTCTCTCAGGCGTTGTCACTCAGCAAATCAACCCATCAATCAATTAATCAATCATTCAGCTGGCCCTTTAGGATGATCCTGTTTCTCAATTAGCCCCTCGCACAGTGATTGCTGGACATGGGCACCGGCGACCCCCGTGACCCAAAATAGAAGAAGCGGGTAAAAGATAATGGATGGATGTTTCTCAATTAACTATCCTGTTCTGTTCTTACAAATCAAACCTCATGTGGAAGTGTGACTCTATAAAACATATATGTTCTATTAGACTGTCTCCTCTCATCTGTGTGACCTCTGATCTTTATAACATCACCACACTAAAGCTTTGGTATTTGCTGTTTTGAGACATTAGAAAATCACAGAAGATCTGATGTGAGAAATGTAAATTCAAAGCTATTACTGTACTT